CCAAGCATATAGATTAGCATTACCACCTTTTCTCTCCTTAATTCATAATGTCTTTATATGTCCATGCTTAAAAAATATGTTAAGAACCCAAACATATATTAAATAGTGAGCCATTAAACCTCTAGCCCGATATGGATTATGAAGAAGGACCAAAACGAGTTGTTGGATTAAGAGGTCAAACAATTACGAAATAAATAGGTTCCCCTTGTAAAAATATTATGAAGAAACCATAATATTGAGCTAGCAACATGGGAAAGAGTGGCAAAAATGTTAGCTAGATATTTCAAATTATTTAGCTAGAAATTTCAAGGACTAAATTTTAATAAGGAGGGAGGGCATAATACCTCGAACTCGTGAATAAGTGAAATAATATATTTTAAATATATATAAAAATTATTTTGTGTGCATAGAATAATTGTTAGAGGGGATTAAAATGATGAAGGGTGAAGATTAAAAGAAAAATCAATGCTAGAGATTGAAAACAAATGAATGGCTAGGATGAGAGTCAAACCAAGAAAGTCCACCTTTTTTTCTATTAATTTTAGCTTGAAGGGGGAGGAAAAAATGGTGGGCAAAATAGCAAAAATAAGCCAAAACTTTGCCAAAAATTCACCAAAATCACACACCAACTAAACTAAGACACTAAAAACATCCTAAAATCACTAAATCAAGCCTTAGATTATAGTTGGAAAATAAAAAATATCAAAGAGGAATTTTAGGAGAGGAGGCTGAAATTTTTAGAAGAGGAAGGAGAGAAAAATCTTACAATTTCAACTCAAAAGGAATTAATTTGGAGCATTAATGGTAAGTTAGTTACACTACATCATAAGAACTTAATTATTGGTGTTGAATTGAATGAATTTTAAATGAAATGATGATGTATGCTATATGTTTGAATGTGATGATGTTGATGGAATTGGGAGTTACGTTAGATGAACTATTAAAATTATGGTTTAATTATGTTGATTAGATAGAGATTTTTCAAGAAAAAGAAACAATCCCTCAACTTATTTGATGATGAAAAATTTTATCAAGTAGGAAAAATTTAGGGTTTGTGAATTTGTTAAGAGACCATAAAGAAATGATGTTAATTAATGTTAAAATGTTTATCTAAGACAATATATGCATTGTTTCATTGTTCACTTTGTATGGATCGTATTATTCACCGATTTAAAGCTACTCATTGGCTTCAATATAGCACTACCTTGAGGTGACGAGAGTAGGAGAGGTTATGGACCTTTTAGCCGTGGCTCTTTTGCAATTCCAACTCTTTTTTTTTTACTCTTCATGCTCTTCATATTAAGCTCTTGTACATATTTAGCCGATGCAAAAGCATCTTGTTCGAGCTGCATAAAGGCTTTCTAGAGTCGATAATACCTATGCCCTATTGCTAGTTTCTTTATTTTCTATTTGAACAAGCTTCACTCGGTCCTAAAACTAAGTGGTGCCGATCGCAATGACCGAGTTGCGATGTGGGGCTCGAGCGAGTGGTTGGTATTTGCTCCTCAGGACGGACGTTTGATGGAAATAGACGGCTCAAGCCTTTTTCTTTCTACTCTTCAAAACTGTGAAACAACCCATCTTATTACATTTAATTCTTGAAAGCTATAAGGAAATCATCTATGATTCTACCAAAAGAAAAAGCATAGATATCAATACAAATTTGGAAGAATTTACATAATAACAATTGCCCTCATTTTGGAAGCAGCATCAATTTCTAACATAGCATCCACAATAGCATCACCAATCACCTTACGACTCTTCTTCACACAATCGGACCCTCATAGCGTCACAGATTGACGCTTGTTATGTCCATCTAACATGTTGACATCATCACCGGAGCCGGACGAACCATCCTTATCCACATAAGCCATAAGTGTACTAGGATGAACAAACATCCCTTTTAATTCTCAATACACATATAATCAAGAATTGGTCAAATTGAATAAAACCACAAAATAAGACAATATATGATCATACTAAACCATTGCTCAAAATGCCCTCAATAAATCTAGGAAAAAATATAAGAAATTTGAAAAAACAAATGATTTGATAACCCGGGTTTAGTAAATTGAAAAAATAAATAAATTATACTCCAAGGCCTTACCTAACAAGTTAATTTTTTAGATTGAGATGATCATTTGATATAGTATTAAACCATTGCTGACCAAACATCATGAGTTTGAATCCTACCACCTTCATCTTTTCTTCTAATTAATATTAAATAATTAAAGAAAAGGTAATGGAGGATCTATGTAAGTTTTAAATCCAAAAAAGTTTTACTTGAAGGGGTGTGCTAAAGAGAATTAAAAATAAGACTATTTTTTTTCTATAAGATTGCACAAAGTAACCATAAGTGATAAATACAAAGATATATATTTTAAGTTTATGTAAATTAATAATTTTGTTAAGATAGAAATTTTATCTTTAGCCACAAGTTTGTTGTTGTTGTTGACTATTACTATCTATAGCATCACCATCCATAGAAATAATTTGTTGCTTCTAATTTAATAAAGTATATAAATCATATCTTAAAACCTTATTTAACGAGTTTAACATTTTAGGTTAAGATGGCCTTTTGATATGAATCATTGACGTAAGCTATTTCGTTAAGAAATTTCATTTATGGTCTAAAAGATGTTGATTTTATATCAAGATTGGTAAATATTTATTTTGATAATTCGATTGTAGCTTTCTTTTCTAAGAATAATAAGAGTGAAAATTGAAACAAACATATTTATATAAAATATCTCATCATGGGAGAAAAATTGAATGTACATGAAGTACTCATTGAGCATAATGAGCTAATGATTGCAAATCTTGTGACTAAGCACTATTAGCAAAACAATATAGTGATCATGTGACTTGTATGGATCTAGCTAACCCATTTAATATTTGATTTCATTTTCTTTTCATTGATCATCTGAATATTTTTATGATATTCTTAAAGATTGATGTGATTTTTATGCATATAAAATATTATTTTTTTATATATGTTATATATAAAGTTAGACTCGAATAACTTATTGAAAATTCATTTATAAAATTTATTTGATCATAAGCACTTATGATAAAGATACAATATATTATAATGTACGAAGTACATACTTATGACCCCCTTATGATTCATATATTGTCTTCTCAATTTAAGTGTGAATGTTTTCACTTACTAGCTATTATGGACTCTATTAAAGGAATTCTCATATGGGTCAAGTGAGAGAATGTAAAAAAAAATTTCCTTAGTGCACCTCATATGTCACGTCTTATTTTTAATATATAAGTGACAATTAAAAGTTTAGAATGCATTGGACTCTAATGATGGGCTAGACACATTCTTGATGGATGGAAGTGCAAAATTAGGTTAAAAAAATTTTTTAGTCTACCAATATAAATATTATGTTAAGTCTAATATCTTTCATTAACACACATAAAATTTTAAAGTATTAGTATAGATTAAAAGACTTTTTTCTATATATATAGCACTAGCTTTCTTCAATAATTACTTAACCACTTAATTAATCATAGCAGAAATATGTATGTTATTAATTTTTGTTGTGCTTATATGTTTGGAAATATTTAATTGATCTTATACTTTGGAAATATTTAATTTATCTTACATGTTAACAAACATGAATGTAATGTGAGAAGAGAAATCAACTAAAAAAAATGCAAATAACAAAAAATTGATGCTAAAACTAGAAGAAAATTGAAATTGGAACTACAAAAATAGGTTTAGGGTTTGTAAACAAGCTTCAAAACATATTTTGAATGATAATAATATACATAAATTCTAATCCTTGTAGGAAAAGGAATGACTAATATAGAATCCTAACATTATTAGGATTTTTGGTGACAAATTGAATCAATATTATATGTTTTTTCTTTATTTTTATTAAATCCATTTCAATAAAAAATTTATTCAAATGCTTGCTAATGCAAAGCATGTAGTACCTTTAATCCAACTCTTCCGAAATTGAGTTAATGGTTTAGGATGTTATTCAATTGTTTTGTTTGTCTTAATCGTGTCCATTAACTAAATTTTTCATTAATGACATTCCTTAACTTTAACTTTTCGTCTTAACTCGTGTCTTTCCATCCAAATTTTCAAGCAACGACATCAAATTCCAATGAAAAATGCACATGATATAGACACATGATATTTTTTATTTAAAAACCCTAAAATACCCTCACTATAAAAAGTTTGTAAACAAATTTTTGAAATTTCTTTTTTTTTTCCAATTTTTTTCATTAATTTTAGCAAAACATTACTAAAATTAAAAAAGTCTAGTTAATTTTTTAAAAGTTTATTAATGTTTTGCTTAAATTAATGAAAAAATTTGAAAAAAAAAAAACAAAACAGAAATTTCTTTATGGGTTTTTTACAATGGGGCATTTGGGGGTTTTTCTCATTTCACAATTTTTTTTAAACAAAAAAAAAAAATTATGTACAAGTATCAATACCATGTGCATTTGTTGTCAGAATTTGATACCGTTACCTAAAAATTTTAGGCAGAAGGACATAATCAAGATGAAAAGTTAGAGTTGAGAGATGTTATTAATTAAAATTTTAGTTAAAAAACGTGATTAAAACAAAAAAAAAATATAGTAGAAAGACAAACTGAACTATTAAATCTTGCAAAATTCATCTTTTTTTTTTTTTTTTTTTTACGGTAATAAAATATATTTTCAGACTAATTTGCGGTGTCAATTAAATTCAACTTTTCAATAATTTTAAGGATATAATTTTCACATCAACTTGATGCATTTAGGGGAAAAGAAGAAGAAGAAGCAAATCTCCAGAAAGAGTTCGTTAGAGTAAAAATATGAAAACGTTATGGGATCCATTATGATAATGCTTCTGAAACTTGTTGAAGGTTAAGGAATTGGGTGCTCAAATTCAAATTATAAAAATAACAGTGGTCATAGTTAAAATACATGTAGCTTGTACAAGAAAGCCAAATGAAGGACAGGACTCCATAACAAATCATAATGCAAATTCCTTAGTCTTCACTCAAGGGAAGCTTAACAAAAATAGGACTGAGGACAACATAGATAGAACAGAGAAGAAGCACAAAGTAACTTATTGCTGCAACAAAACCAGCAATAAGAGCTATAGTCACTTGGTCACAGAAATCAGGAACTTGACCACAAACAGGTAGCCAACCGGCATGAGTGTTTCCTTTCTTGCCGACTTGAGCTATTGCCACAGCAGCAGAAATGCTTGATGTCAGCAGCACTGTTGTAAACTATAACAAGCAAACTCCGATTAGAATCCATAGATTAATATTTTCATGGACATAGAAAAATTGCATCATTACCGTATCTAGGATTACAAGTAAGCGCCAAAACTGGCTTTTGAATGAGAGAAGGATGGATATAGCTATATATCCACCTGCAATTGCCTCTGCAATCAGAAAGTACCTATATATATGCCAACATTTTAAACCAATAAAACCATAAGTTAGATATAAATATGTACCAAAAAAGGATGGTGATTATAATAATGGGGGCAGGGCATGGTAGGTGGTGAAATTAAACTTACTTGAATGCAGGTGTGTTGCTATATTTGGCAGTGAAAGTTAAGTTCAAGACTTGGGCAGAGTCATGGCTGGTGGCCATGAAGACAACTGCAACCACAGTGGCAGCCAAAGCAAGGAACCTTAGGATGTTGGTGAAAATCTTCTTAACCTTAGCCATGGAGGTTAGCAATTGTTGGTGACTTCAAGTTATACTAAGAGCTAGGGAAATGTGGGTTGTAGGGAAGCTTTTAAATGCAGAAACATTTGGACGCATAAACTTGGGACCGTACAGGTGGGTCAAGCAAAGAAGCGTGATGTGTTGGACAGACAGATAGAGGATGGTGCACTTGTTTCCACGTTCGGTATCTTTCGGGAAACCATGGTTGGTAACCGGTCCATGCATGAAACTGTAGAGTCCAGTGCTTTGATTTTTATTATTTGTGCATGCAACTTTTATGGAGCATATATGTAATTTGTAAGTTTTTCAAGTTATTATTATTATAAATAATAACATGATAGCAAAAACGCTCTGGATTGGTATATGCATCCCCTCCCATTTTCTTGGGAAAAAAAGAAAAAAAAATTATTTAAAAAAAAACCTCAAATATATAGTAAGTATGAATTTGTTTGGTAAAGTGAGACGAATGAGGTTCAATTTGAGTCTCACTTGTACCAATTTCTCCTTAAAAAAAAAAAAAATCTTTGTCATTAATAACAGCATGAGATACTATTTTATTTTAGAATAGATTCATTGTTAAACATTTAATCTACAAAAGTTTATATTTTAAGATAAAAGAAAAAACAACTTATATTATTCATAAGATGAAAATATTTTATGAATATCTTTGCTATTAAATCATGGATCCCACCACTAAATGACTTTTATCTTTTTATTCTTAACATTTATTTTTCATTGGTATAAAAAAACTCAACAATTATTTTTGAGTAGTTTTTATTACCATAGAAAAACAATGAAAAAGTAAAAAATAATTCCCATTAAAGTTAAAATAATTTTTGACATAAGTTATTTTGCATGAAACTTGCAATTGACCAAGTTTTTGGAGATAAATTAATTTTAAAAAAAGTTGAAAATATTTTAGAATTGCATATCTTATTTGAAAAAAACCTGGACATAATAAAACTGATACATAATTATCGAAAGCAAAGCTGTGAAATAAACACCAATCAATCATGAATAGGTATGTCCATCTCTAGAAAATACCAGCTTCTTGTACGATGTATATGGTCTTGATTAGGCAATTTTGGCAAAAATTAGCAATGAGTAGTTGAACTACGACTACCAACACTAAGGAATTTACCATTATTGTCCACGTGGACTTCTTATGGCTTAGTAGATAGGTGTTCGATCCTTTGAGGTTCATTCAGCTAGAGAGAACAGAAATACGGTGGTGGGCAGCGGGCACCATGACTTGGCCCTTGATACGGAGGGGAAGCCCACATTTAATGTCCCCTGCGGCCACAGCTACTGGGTCAGGGTGAGGGCCTAGTAAATCCCCCGCCACATCTCTCTCCATATTATGGTCCAGGCTAGACAATGGTAAAAGCCCTGGTTAATTCTACTTGGGTGGAAACTCAATGAATGGTTAGTTTGGAATTCAGGCTTATTTACATTATCTTAGGTACAGATGAGTAAACGGTTAAAAAGTTTGATTTTATACGAATTCCATTTGAATTTTGGTTAGTCAAACTAAGAAAACCAAAATCAAAACCGAATCAAAAGAAATTCAATAAATTTAAGTTCGGTTTAAAAATGAATTATTTAGATTCAATTTCTTAAAAATTCAATTTTAATCCAAATAATTTTTTTTAATTGATAAATTCTAAATATGGACTAGGTTAATATTTGGAGGCTTTTTACTTTTTAGTATATGAGTTAGGCTAATTGGTAGATTCTAAAGAAGATGAAGGAATGAAGGATGGGGAGATGTGGTTGAAAAGTGAAAACTGACTTAGGTTAGGGAGCTAGGAACTTTAGGGTTAGAGATTTAGCGGTAATTAGGTGAATTTTTTTTTTAGTTTTTTACTTTTAATACATTCAATTTTTGGTGGAAATTTATTTATTTATTTATTTATTAAAAACATAATCGAACCGAAATAATTTTGGTATTTTGATTCAATTTTTAATTTTATATATTTAAGTTCAAAACTGAATCGAAATACATAATTTGGTTCAATTTTTTGGTTAAGTGGAATTATGCTCCCCTTAATCCTAGGGATGGAAATGTTATTCAATCTTATATCCTTTTTATTTAAAAGCATATTCAACTTGTGCATTTAAGAAATAATCCTCTAAATCATTCTCAAAACATATTTAGTGCGTATCCATGTATTTGATAACTCTTTATTTAAAAGTTTTTTAATTTTTTAAAAATAGATATTTATTTAAATTTATTTATCTCTAATCTTACTCATCATTCCATTTAAATTGTCTAACTAATTTGGACTAAGTTTACAATTTGAAATATAAAGATTTTATTGAAAATAATTCAATTTAGAGACTAAATTATATTTATTGTAAAATATGATGATGAAAAACTTTTCAATTAAGGACTTATTTATAAGAAAATAAAATACAAGAACTAAAGTAAAAAAATTTAAAAAAAAGAGCCAAAAACTAAAAATTCCAACGGCAGCACCTGATATACGTGTCAACTTTTAACGGTACCAAGAAAGGAGGTGACATTGAAAAAAAAAAAAAAAGTAACTTACAGAATTGCTATTAAGATAAAATATAATAGATGGATCTTTTAATCATAAAATGAAGAGTACAGGGATTATGAAAGCATTAAGCCCAATCCCAATTACCAAACACACAGTCCAGATCACCGCTGGCCATGGCCCTGTCCCTTCCTCTATAAATATCACACTGCAGAATCTGTTCATCCTTTTCCTCCTTTCGCAACTTGAGAAGTTTCTCTCTCTTCTCTCTAGGGTTTCCAGTGGACTAACAAACTCTAACCCATTTAATCTAAAAAGAAAAGGAAAAAAAAACCTGAATTCAAAAATAAAATAACAAATCAAATAAAAAACAGAAACAAAGAACCAGAATCGCAATGGAAGACGACGAGTACGATCATCCGATGAACGACGATATCGACCTAGAAGAAGAAGACGCCGAGGAGGAGATAACGCAGGAGGATGCCTGGGCCGTTATTTCTGCTTATTTTGAAGAGAAAGGCTTAGTGAGACAACAACTCGACTCCTTCGATGAGTTCATTCAAAATACGATGCAGGAAATCGTAGATGAGTCTGCTGATATTGAGATTCGGCCTGAAAGTCAGCACAATCCGGGTCATCAGTCTGATTTTGCTGAGGTATTTTGAATTTTTTTGGTTTAAGAGAGTTATTTTTCGAGTTCTGTTTGTGTGATGTGGAAAGAAACGGAAATTTTACGAATTTCTGAAGTAGAGTTGTTTGAGTTGAAGACATTTTGGTTTCCAGTGGAAAGTTCTTTACCAATTTCCTGTTTCTAGGGATTCTAGGGATTCTAGGCTGTTATTGGTGAGACTTCAATTTTGTAACTTATGTAGTTTTGATGGTAGAGTGGTGGAGTTATTCTTAAAAAAACTGCTAAAGGCACCATTCCAGTGGGGTTTAAGCCTTGATATTTTCCTGTTGTTAGCTTCTTTGCGTTTGACAGAAGTATGATACAAATGTTAGAAATATTTTTTATCGAACCCTTTTTCATTCGACAACTCCAATTTCCATTTTGCGGTGCACATCATGTTTATCCTGTTGGAAGGTTTAAAATTACCGGAAGTTTCGGGGAGACTGTTTTGGGGGGTGGAGACAGTGGACAGAGAATTTGCTGATTAAAGAAGTGTGGGTTATTAGAACTCAGTAAGAGAAATTAGTTAAAGAGTTCTGCTATTCTTTCCATCCTTTCTTTATTTGAAAACCTAAAAGAGCCTGAAGATTTGAGATTAGTGTATCATTTGTTTTTGCCCCCTCTACCCCCTCCAAGCTGATATCTTAGGTTGCTTTTTTCCAATAACAGGTGCACTTGCATTATTTTTCAGAGCATAGTTCCAATTAACATAGTGATATACTTGTTGACCTTTGATTAATTGCTGAGTATTCTTTAATTAGATTTCGGGAAAGCATGTTTCTGTTATTTGTGGTCTAGTGGATTCTTAAATGGCAACATGGTATGCTTTTTAAGATATTTTTGTGATTGAATTATAGACTTTGAAACACTAGTTAGGCTTTGGTGAAAATACAGGAAACAAATTAGTTGAAATTTTAAATGAATAAATTTCATTGTGTTATTAGATCAAGTATTGTCAGATATCTGGTCTTAAGATTGTCTACTTTTTGGAGGAAAAATCATGATTGTCCTTGTAGGAAATTTCAGTTGCTGGAAAGAGGAAAGTGGAAAGCTTTCAAGATTTTGTAGATGTGTCATTTTGTGGTTATTTTTGGGGTCACTGGATGTACAGGAATGCTAGTATTTTGAAGGATTATTTTGCATTGGGATAGTTATTCTGGGATAAGATTTTGTTCCTTGCATTATTGTGATACAATGCTTTGGGGGATTTTAGTGTTTGTCTAGCTAATTTTTGGCAGGATCAGAATGTCCTCTTGGTCTGAGTTCTGCTTTCTCTTTTTGTTGCTTTTACACGTCTTATTCTCCAATTTGAGATTATTGTCTTTTCTTTCGCCAATATATTTTTTATCCTACAGAAGAAGAAAAATTGTTAGCTTTCAGTTCACAAAGTTAGATGCTGACCGGAGAATAATTTTATCTCTTTCTTATTTTCTTGTTGGTTCTTAACACCACGGACTATACCTGCAGACTATCTACAAGATCAGCTTTGGCCAGATATACTTGAGTAAGCCCATGATGACAGAGTCCGACGGAGAAACTGCAACTTTGTTTCCCAAAGCTGCAAGGTTGAGGAACCTGACATACTCGGCCCCTTTGTATGTGGATGTTACAAAGAGGGTTATAAAGAAAGGTCATGATGGTGAAGAAGTCACTGAAACCCAAGACTTCACCAAAGTTTTCATTGGAAAGGTGAGTATAATAAACTCTTCATTTGTATGTTGATGAATCATACTCTGGAAGCACTAGTCTTTACTGCTTTTTGTGCCTTATCAGGTTCCTATCATGCTTCGATCGAGTTATTGCACGTTGTACCAGAATTCAGAAAAGGATCTGACAGAGCTCGGCGAGTGTCCCTACGATCAGGGTGGATATTTCATTATCAATGGCAGTGAAAAGGTTCTAATTGCTCAGGAGAAGATGAGCACAAATCATGTGTACGTGTTCAAGAAGAGGCAGCCAAACAAGTATGCATATGTAGCAGAAGTTCGGTCTATGGCAGAGTCTCAGAACCGGCCACCAAGTACCATGTTTGTGCGGATGCTTTCTCGGACTAGTGCTAAAGGGGTAAATGAATTGCTGGTGCTTGGATATCTGGTTTTTCGGATCATTTCTCCTTTATAGACAGTTGTTTACAGTCTTTGCATGATCCATTTGATTGTGTCCATTGATGTTATTGCAGGGCTCTTCAGGGCAATACATACGTGCTACTCTTCCGTACATTCGAACTGAAATTCCGATTATCATTGTTTTTCGAGCTTTGGGTTTTGTTGCTGACAAAGATATTTTGGAGCACATATGTTATGATTTCTCTGACACTCAAATGATGGAATTGCTTCGGCCATCTCTGGAAGAGGCATTTGTTATTCAAAATCAACAGGTACCATTTTTTCTGTTTTATTCAATGTTGTAAGGTAGTTGTAGTTCATAGTTGAAAGTGCTGTTATATTTGTTTTGACCATTTTGTCAGCACGACAGAATTGTGATCCTTTATGGCTGATGATATTGCATAAACTTCTGCTGTTAAAATGTGTGTTCCTTTCTATTAAAAAAAACGAACTATTTTTAATATGGCATTTCTTTCCTTTTTTTCACATTTCTCTCTCATTATTATTTAATCATCTCCAATAATTGAAATTCAGATTTTCCTTTGTGAAGCAGATTATGAGTTTGGCTCACGTAGTCCCTCTATTCCTTGTTTCTATCTTCTATTGACCATTGAAATGGCCTTCTTCTTTTTTCCCCATTACATCTGTGATGGCTTACATAACAAAAAGTTAGGATTATAATAATATTGTATTTATGGAGTTTGTTATCCTCAATACATGCACTGAATTATTCGACTCTGTACCAAGTTTTCCTTGCTTGTTGCCAAGAACATTGTTCATTTTTTATTTGCGAATCTGATGGTTGATATGTTATGTGCTGTTGCTTGATGCAGGTTGCTCTTGACTACATCGGAAAGCGTGGGGCAACTGTTGGCGTAACTAGGGAAAAAAGGATTAAGTATGTGTTAGCAAATTTACTTGGGCAGCCAGATATTCCTTGTGAAATTTTATAACGTTCAAAGATTCATGTTAACAGGTATGCAAAGGAGATTCTTCAAAAAGAAATGCTTCCTCATGTTGGTGTTGGAGAATATTGTGAGACCAAAAAAGCTTATTACTTTGGGTAAGATTTTTGATTTTGGTGAGATACTTACATATGCATCTGGTGATCTGGCATTGATTAAAAAATTCTGAGCAGGTATATCATTCACCGACTTTTACTTTGTGCACTTGGCCGGAGGGCAGAAGATGATAGGGATCATTATGGAAACAAACGGCTTGACCTTGCTGGTCCTCTACTTGGGGGCTTGTTTAGAATGGTTTGTTTTTGGTTGAAAGTATTGGTGGATTTTTGAGTGGGGTCTTGAAATTTTAACGTGTTATTTTATCTCATCCTTGCTGTTCATTTGGATGCAGTTATTCAGAAAGTTGACCAGGGATGTCAGGTCTTATGTGCAAAAGGTTCTTTTTTTCCTTATAAAGCCTTCTTTCATTTGTTCTCAAATCACTTAAATTCTTCCATGGCATTGACCTACATTTCTCATGTATGGTAGTGTGTAGATAATGGAAAGGATGTTAACCTGCAATTTGCTATTAAAGCAAAAACCATTACCAGTGGTCTTAAATACTCACTTGCCACTGGGAACTGGGGACAAGCAAATGCAGCTGGTACAAGAGCTGGAGTGTCACAGGTTTGTCTCATTTTTCTTTTCGATATCCGTTTATGTGTATATTTCTTTGCTGTCTCCTTACCTATCCTATAGGATTATCTATAACTTGATTTCTGTTTGTTTGTACTGAAAACGATTTTATGGCTTATTGTAACAGGTGTTAAATAGATTGACATATGCCTCTACACTGTCACATTTACGAAGATTAAATTCTCCAATCGGACGTGAAGGTATCACTTTGCAGGATCCTGTTATATTTGATGCTTCAAATATTTGGGCGTGTGTAGCTTTGTGCAAATTGTACCACTCTCCCACAGCTGTTTGCTCCTGGATCATGATGCCATTACTTTGTTTTTTCTGTTATCTTTTCTCCTCTTCAACTCAACTGTGGTTTTTCTAATCAGGGAAATTGGCAAAACCGAGGCAGCTACATAATTCACAATGGGGAATGATGTGTCCAGCTGAAACACCTGAAGGACAAGTTAGTATAGTACCCACCTGTTCTATTATGGAATATATCCCACTCGTGCAAGTTGATGCATGCTTATTTCTTTGCTTCTAATGATGCATATTTGCTGGTGTAACCAGGCTTGTGGATTAGTGAAGAATCTCGCATTGATGGTATACATTACGGTTGGATCAGCAGCATATCCCATCTTGGAATTTTTAGAAGAATGGGGTACTGAGAATTTTGAGGTGCATACTTTTGAGTTCTGTGCCAGCAGATGCTGATTTCTGTTTCCCCGTTCTTTTAGCATGATGCTTTCCCTTTAATTGCAGGAAATATCTCCTG